TTCTACTCCTTGGTATATACCCAAGAAAAATGAAAACTTATGCCCACATAAAAACTGGTCCACAAATATTTACAGCAGCATCATTCTTAATATCCAAAAGGTGGAAATAACCCAGATGCCCATCAGCTGATGAATGGATAAACAAAATGTGGCATATTCATACAATGGAATATTATTTGGCCTTAAAGAGAAGGAAGTTCTGATAACTTTCTACTACACAGGTGAACCTTGAAAACATGCTAAGTGAAAGAAGCCGGAAACAAAAGGCCACATATTGTGTGATTTCATTTAAATGTCTAGAATAGGCAAGTCCAGAGAGACAGAAAGTAGATTAGTGGTTGACAGGAGCTAGGAGAACAGGGGAATGAGCAGTGACTGCTGAGTGGGTATGAAGTTTCTTTTTGGGGTGATGAAACTGTTCTGAAATTAGATAGTGGTGAAATTGCACAACTTTCTGAATATACTAAAAAAGCATTAACCTGTACATATTAAAATGATGACTTGTATGGTTTGTGATTATATTTCAATTAAAAAAACTTACTAAAATAGGAACAGCTCCATATATTTAATGTATACATTATCCATAAGATAATATATATACACACATTCATATGACTGCTATGCGACTGGAACACACTGGTATGGCTGCACCAGTGGTAAAAATATCAGTACTTCCAGGCTTAGTGCCCTCTAGCTGCTCCAGCTCTCCTAGAGCCCCTCCAGACCTCCATATAATAAAAAGGAATGAAGCGGGGGCTGGCCTGGTGTGGTGGTGAAGTTTGTGCAATCCGCTTCAGCGGCCTGGGGTTTGCGGTTTCAGATCCCGGGTGCGGACCTACGCACCGCTTGTCAAGCTATGCTGTGGCGGCGTCCCATATAAAGTAGAGGAAGATGGGCACGGATGTTAGCCCAGGGCCAGTCTTCCTTAGCAAAAAGAGGATTGGCAATAGATGTTAGCTCAGGGCTAATCTTCCTCACGAAAAAAAAAAAAAGGAATGAAGGGTTACACCTGGCTCCTCAAGGGACCTTTAGGACCTGCTCCAGCTGCTGGACACTTTGGGATTTGGAGCTGGAGAGATACAGGAAGGAAATTATTAACCTTCTCATTATGCGTCTTTGGATGGTTCTCTTTGATACACAAATGTGGGTAGGGGTTTTTGCAATTAAAAAATTAATAAAATTTGAAAAGCAAACCATTTAAAATTATAGTAATTAAAGCACTATCATATTAGTATAGAAATAGCCAAGCATCCGTAGAATAGAATAAAATTACAGACCCACATAGAAGTATATATAGGATTATAGCATATAAAAAAGGTGGCATTTTAAATCAGTAGGGGAAGGGGCAGAGGAAGAATTTGGGGGGGAAAGAATAAAGCTTGATCTATACTTTACTCCTTTACCAAAATAAACAGCAGATAAATCAAGTATTTAAATATAAAAAGATGAAATTATAAAAATATGAAAGGAAAACTGGTAAAAGCATTTATAAGCTGAGGATCAATATAATACAAAATGTAGAAGCCATAAGAAAAAGACTGATACAACTGTCTACACAGAAATTTGAGATTTCTATAAAGCAAATTTTTCATCAACATTTTATTTAAAAATATTTAAAATAAAAAACAATAAAAAATATTTGTAATTCATATGAAAACAGCTAATATCCCTAATATACAATGACAAGACATACAAAAAGAAGAAAAAGATAGATAATACAGTTGAAAAAGTGGTAGAGAACATGAACAGGCAATTTACAAATTAATGGTAACAACCATAACGATGAACATTTATGGTACATTTATTATATGCCAGGCGCTGCTCATGTTTTAATACATTCATTCCCCACAAAGATCCAGTGAGGTAGGTAATGTCATAATCCATATGTTACAGCGACCTTCCCTTCCTCTTCTTTCACAATACCCTTCTCCCACTTAACAAAAAAAGCCACTTACCGTATTGCACATTATCCTGGGATGTTAAGATCGCTGGGATGCTAAACAAAGGGACAACTCAAGAATGTGGCTTGCCCGTGGCAAAGCAGAGTTAGGTCAGAAATCTTTAAGAGGATGCCAAACTCTCAGCAAAGCTCTGTTCTTGAATGAACTTCCTTCCTTCCTCCCTCCCTTCCTTCCTTCTTTCCTCCCTCCCCTTCCCTTCCTTATTTCTATTTATCTACCTTAAAATTAAAATTAGAAGTAAATCACGGGGGCATATTAACATGTTTATTTGAATTAAAGAATAAAGTCAGACTTTTTCTGACAAGGTAAATCTGGTTTTGACAATGAAAACTAGTTTTGTAAAATAGGTAACAAATTCAACATTTTTCCATAAATGGAATACGATAAATCTGCAGATCCAAAGATTTAACAGAAATGTATTTAAAGCACATATGTAGGGCCGGCCCTGTGGCTTGGTGGTTAAGTGCGCGCACTGCAATGCTGGTGGCCCGGGTTCGGATCCCGGGTGTGGATCCCGGGTGCGCATAGAGGCACCACTTCTCCGTCCATCCTGAGGCCGAGTCCCGCGTGCAGCAACTAGAAGGATGTGCAGCTATGACATACAACTATCTACTGGGGCTTTGGGGGGAAAAAATTAAAATAAATAAAAATCTAAAGCACATATGTAATAAGAAATAATATATTTTGCAACTATTTAAACTTATGATGAAAAATATTAGGTGTCAACTTCAAAATACAGAAAAAGGTACACAGTTATTAAAAAAATTTTTAGGGAGTATTTGAGCAAAAATGTTTGAGGACTATTGCTCCAGAACCCCCACTCTTAATTATTACCACACTGCACTGCCCCGTCAGTAAACAGCAAATGTGCCCAACCTTATTAATGGAAATGGAAATTTAATCAACGAGATCTCATCTTTTCACCCTACAGACTGCTAAAGATTTAAAAGTGTGATAAAACCCAGTGTTTGGGAAGCTGTGGAGAAATAGGTTTATAAGAGCGTATATTTTGGTGGGTAATTTGACCATACCAATTAAAACTTAAAATGTGTACAACCTTTGGTGCCGGACAACCTGGAAGACTACAAATCAAACTGTTAATAATGGTTATGTCTAAAAGGGTAGGCTTTGGAAAAACATTCTTTTTAAGTTAGTATTTTTGTAAAGTTTGAAGTTTTTACAATAGGGGACAAGAAAAAAAGTTGCATAGAACTAAGCTAAGTATCATGATGGCTAAAGTTCAAAATAAGATGAATATTTCTGGGATTATTAAAAGGAAATTTAAGCAACTGGTGATTAGATTAGATGGCATGTAATAGTGCTTTAAACCCTAAATTCTACTACTTTGGGAATTAAGAAATGATTCTTAGAGGCCATATAGTGTACTTCCCTAAGCAATTCATAATTTCTTTTGACAGCATCCCTAACAAGTAGTTATAACTCTCTTGAATATACACTCTCCAATTTGAGCCCAGATCCCAGATTATTTTGTCTTTATAACATGTCCTTAAATATTACTTGTGTATTTTATACCATATTATGGATTAATTATTAATTATAGCTTACCTGAAATAAAATCTAATAAAATAAAATACAGATGTTCCTCCATTCTTGCCAGATTACATTCTTAGAAACCTTATCCCTGACAGACAAATCAAGGGTCATCCATACTGATGAATTTGGTTATATACCCGCAATAATTCTCTTTGCCACTAGATGGTGATTTAGCTAATGCTGTGTTGAGAAGCTCTCACAACGTGAGGTTGGCTGTTAGCCACCAATAGGAGCTACTCAATAAGGAAGTGAAGCTAAGTAAGGAGGGAAATACAGGTGTGATTAACATGTCCACTTATGAAACGGCAAAGGGAAAATATCAAATTAAAAGAAAGGAGCAAACCATATGCATATTAAGAACCTACTATAAGAATTACAGAAAAAGTTTAGAACATGAATAATAAGTAAAAGACAGAGAAGAGATGTTTTAAAATACCTTATTAATTGTCACAGCCTTGAAGAACTAATTGGTGTCACGTATTCTTAGATCTACTCCTTACCTTGATGTCCACAGTTCAGATGGAGTATTACTGTTTTTCTTCTCATCCCTGGTTTATTACAGCATTTTACCCAGAAGCTACGAAAGTTATTTAGGCTATTTTTACCTCATTCCTTGTGAGTGCCAAAGGCTAAAAGGGTCTAAGAAATGTATGTTTTCAGATAACTAACAACGAATTTTCTCTCTACTTTCTAAGGTTATTTTATATACTTCTTTTTCTTTTTTTTTTTTTAAAGATTTTATTTATTTATTTTTCCCCCAAAGCCCCAGTAGATAGTTGTCTGTCATAGCTGCACATCCTTCTAGTTGCTGTATGTGGGACGCGGCCTCAGCATGGCTGGAGGAGTGGTGCCTCGGTGCGCACCCGGGATCCGAACCCGGGCCGCCGGCAGCGGAGCGCACGCACTTAACCGCTAAGCCACGGGGCCGGCCCTAAAGATTTTATTTATTTGTTTATTTTTCCCCCCAAAGCCCCAGTAGATAGTTGTATGTCATAGCTGCACATCCTTCTAGTTGCTGTATGTGGGACACGGCCTCAGCACGGCCGGAGAAGCGGTGCGTCGGTGAGCGCCTGGGATCCGAACCTGGGCCGCCAGCATCGGAGCACGCGCACTTAACCGCTAAGCCACGGGGCTGGCCCTACTTATTTTTCTTGTACTGAGGCATAGATGTATCTAAAACTTGGGATAGAAAATTTGGACCCAATTTATCCAGAACCCATCAAGTCAAAGCCAAAATGCCTTTAGCTTAATCAACAATAACAACAACAACAAAAAGAATCTTTTAGTGTACAAAAGAATGCCCATGCCAAGCCATTGTAAAGGCTCTACAGAATCTACATAAAGTTGTAAAAAGTTAGGCTATTTGGTCACACTAAAGCCTAACAAAAAGGAAGTGGAATGTCTTTATACAACTTAGAAAATCATAATCACTCACTTTCAAAAATATTTGATTGAGTCGTTCAGAAGAATCCTTTTCTTTCTTACCTATAAGGTTGTACTTTAATCCCATGGCCTTGAAATTCCAGTGCTTTCTTAACAACAGCTTCATTTTCTTCTGGATAGACGGAGCATGTGCAGTAAACTACTGCTTGAGCTTTAGTAACTAGATTTAAAGAAGACGTAATTAATATAATGACCCCATGAACAACCCTAAACAAAGCTGCTGTTTCCAAACGCCTCTTTCTGCTAATACTGCATGGTTTTGATGGGAATGATTTCCATAGATGCTTGAATGGCTCCCCTTTAAAGCAAGTATTAGTAATGTCCTCTGTGGCCAATAAGTAAAGTAAATCTGACTGGATTGTGTGGAAATTGAAAATTCAGTCAGTGTGACCAACCTAGTTGCAAACACAAACAAAAAATAAGTGCCGCAGATTATCATGGGCTCGGTACTTCCAGCCACTCTTCCACAAGCCATGTCACATGACTAGTTAAAGGGACTCTAGGAAGAGGCAGACTTAGATGTGAACCCCGTTCTGTTACTTACTGCTGAATGAACCTGGGAAAATTACTTCAACTCGCAGATTTCTCATCTGTAAAATGAGGTAATCCTACTACCTGCAACTCACTCATTCCTCCACCCTCAGTCAGCACCTAGGCACTGTTCTAGCCACTCGAGATGCACAGACAAAAATCCCGGCCCCTGGGGAGCTTATTTTCTACGTTTTATTGATGTGAATAAATAGGAAAATTATATAGTATTGTTAGGAGGTGATAAATGCTATAGAAAAAAACAAAGCAGGTATGGAGAATGGTTAGTTTCAGAAGAGGATCCTGTAATTTTAAATAGAGTAGTCAGAGAAAGCATCAAAAAAGTTTATTATTTACCAACTGCCTAATCTTCCAACCAACTTATTTCATAGATCATATACATACTATCATGTTCAAATTAATGTTTATTGGTAGCATCAACTAAAAGGGCAGACCTCCCCTGTGCTTTCCATCTTGCTTTGTTTCTCCCTCATGTATGCTGTATTTTTATGTCTTAAATTATCTATACCCACATGTTTATCTGTGAGCCTTTGGAGGTTGGGATTTATTCACACTCATATCTCTAACATCGAGCTTAATGCCTGACCCAGAGTAGGCACTTGATAAACACTCACTGAATTAATAAAAATTTACATAATTTCTCAGAGAACTAAATTTCCACATCCACGTGTGGAAGGGCAGTGGTACTCAAAATCTAAATGGTACTCAAAATCTAAATGGTACTCAAATCTAAATGCAGTGATTGAAGCAATAATATAAATACTTAAAGAGCTTTGTTACTCAGACTTCAAATCAAGAGATCCAGGCTTTATCTGTAATTGCATCTCTCTATTCTCTATTTAGCACTAAGAGAAGTAAGAGTTTGATTACAATTTGGATTGTAGAAGTGTTGTTAGGGGCAGGCACAATGACAACAGAAAAATTACATCAAGTAAGAAGCCAAAGAAAAGAAATAGAGAAGATGAAACTACAATACTGGATGTACAATACATAATTATTTCATATCAGCATTAAGAAACTCTTAACTATGCTTGCTAACCTACATTTTTAAAAGACACTAAATTGGTAAAATATTTTGTTATTTGAAGGCACTAAGACTGAGTGTTCTGGAAAATTCACTTATGGTTCACACCTCATTGCCTGATTATAATAGATAAAAGATTTTTGTAAGATTTACAACATATTTTAAGAGTGCACTGATAACAAACTTACATTTCATTGCATGTGTTAGCTGTTCATATTGCTGTTGAGCAAGAATATGAAGTTTATCTTCTGATGTGCCTCCTTGAGAGAAATCTTTAAGTAAACCTGCATCTAAAAGCAAATAAATGCTTTTAAATATATCAGTACTAGATGTTTCCCATATATTGCTATTATCACATTATTTAATTTTTCAATCATTTTCCCTATTAATGAGAGTTTTCATGAAAAATATTTATTAAAACTAAATAGTATTATAAAAATGCTGACTTAAAATTAAAAAACTAAGGGGCCAGCCCCATGGCTTGATGGTTGGGTGCGCGCACTCCGCTACTGGCGGCCCGGGTTCGGATCCTGGGCGCGCACCGACACACTGCTTGTCCAGCCATGCTGAGGCGGCGTCCCACGTGCAGCAGCTGGAGGGATGTGCAGCTATGACATACAACTGTCTGCTGGGGCTTTGGGGAGAAAAAGGGAAAAAAAAGGAAAAGGAGGAGGATTGGCGGTGGATGTTGGCTTAGGGCTGGTCTTTCTCAGCGAGAGGAGGAGGATTGGCATGGATGTTGGCTCAGGGCTGATCTTCTTCACAAAAAAAAAAAGATTTAAAAAAAATTAACAAACTAAATTGATAGAGGTAATTTTGTTTAGTTTTAATATTGTTTTTCTTTTTTCTCCAAGTTCTCATGAGACAGTCATCCAACCAGCCAAATAAGTCATTTAGATACAGAAGAGAGAATGTAGTCAGTCTGGAGACTGATAGAGGAAAAGAGAAGAGAAGATTTATTTTCCAAGATAGAAACTGATGGGCTATAATCATATCTGAGTAGGAAAGAACACGAAAGGATACAGTTAAAATCATTAACTTACCAAAAGAAATTTTGGAACAAAAAAATTCAGGGAAGCAAATGTATGTCTTCAAATAGATGAAGAAACAACAGATCAAGAAACTCCTATTTTTTTAATTTCTAAAACTAATTTTAACATATTTCTTGATAATATTAACTAAGATATATTGAATGATATTCTATATAGATTATCTTATTCAACAACCCGTTGAAGCATTATTATCCCTTTTAATATTAAGAAAACTGTTTAAACATATATTAAACAACATGTCTAAGGTCACATAGCTACTAGTAGAGAGCCAGGATTCTACCTCAGAAATCTAACCAGAGAGCCCAAATTTCTAAGTATTATCCTACCTCTCAGTAACTCCCTGGAGTAGGAGAACCAATTACTTATACCATATATTTGGCTGTTTCCCATTCCAGTAATATCACTGAAGGTTAATTAACTCCATTTCTTCCCAGTTTAGTTTTACACGTCACATTTTCCTATCTCTATTCTAAAACTATCCATCACTTTTTTTTGACAATACACCTTTTTTTTAAGCTTCAGTGCATAGTTGTGTATCCTAGTTAGTTTAGTTCTCTATTGAGCCGCTGCCACAGTATGACAACTGATAGACGGGTGGTGTGGTTCCACAACTAGGAAATGAGCCCAGGCCGTGGGGGTGAGAGCACCGAATCTTAACCGCTAGACCGCCAGGGCTGGCTCCATCACTTTTTAAAGGACTATTTACACATTATTATACTCTAAAACCACATCAATTACCTCTTTCATCCCGTTTTAAAATAATTCCAAGTTGTTAGCAACGACCAACTTCATATATTCCTCAATGGTTGTAATATTTTTCAATGTTAAAATATTTTTCAAAACTAATTCATAATTGCTCCCTTCTACCTAGTGTCTAAATCTGATAAAATAGTCTTTTGGATTCACCCCCACTAAACTTATGGCTGCGATTTCTAGCACAATCACTAGGTCAGCAGCTCTATTTGCTCGGGCTATTGCCTCCTCAGAGTACAGTTTCCTTCAAACGCCTTCCTTTTTTCCAGGTTTGCCAAAGACCACTTCTTGGCTTATCCTGTCACCTCTTCATCAAGGCTTTCAAAACCAGTGCCTAGCAAACTTTTTACTTTCTCCCTTTTTCTCATTTGTAATTCCCTTTGGGCTTTCCCCCCCAGCCTCTAGTTTATTTTTACCTATGGCTTACTTTTTTCTGCATTCTCACTTCAAGATGGCGCAGGATAAGGCCAGAGTCTCATAGTTCTAAGCTGTCATTCTCTTGACTGCGATGCTTACTATAGCTGCTGCTGTTGCCTCCTCTCTTCTTCTGGTGTCTACTAACTCTTCTTTGATCATTTCCCAGAGTTAGTGTAGGAATTTTCCCAGCCTACCATTCTCCCATCTGAGTTGGTTATTCTTCTGTTTAACTCTCACTGGAAAGAAATTTTCTATAGCAAATCAAAATTCCACATGGTACAGTGTAAGCCCAGTTACAGATGGTGTAGTACAGTGGAATTCTTTTTATAGTGTAGTATAGTAGAATGTGCTAACTAATCTGAATTTGAATCCTAGCTTCCCTACTTACCAGTTACATGACCTTAGGCAACCTGCTAAATTTCTCGGAGTCTTGGTTTTTTTCCCCTTTATAAAACAGAGATAATAAAATAACTCTAGCCTCAAAAAGTTATTTTAATATTAAGTGACAGTGCATGCATGCCACCTAGAATATTGACTGGGACACAGTTGTACTCAATAAATATTAGTTCCTTTCTCTCCATTTCCTTTTCTCTATTTTAAATTCTGTCCTTGTTTAGATACAGAAAGCAGTTACTCACTATAGTTTGAATGTTGATGGAATGTCTTCTTTGTCTGATATTCTAGTTAACCTTATCTATGCCTTTCAATATAAACAAGGGATTAAAGTAAGAATCAGTTTCAGTTAATACTTTGATTAAGAGAGTGATTCAAAGTGCCAGCCTCAGCGGTTGTGTTTGAATCCGGGCTCTGTCACTTACTAGTCAAATGACTCTGGGAGGCTTCCACCTCTGAGCCTCAGAGTCTGTATTTATAAAATGGAGATAATAAGAGTAACCATTACACTGAATTCTTGTGGGGATTTGATGAAATAATCCAAGCAAAGTGCTTAGCTCAGTGCCTTACGTACAAGTGCTCAGTAAATGTTAATGTTAAATAATATTTTAAAATTTATTAAAGAATCAAATAAAATACTCCTAGAATTAATATTTAATCTGGGGTATTCATATCATAAAACACACATACTCGGGGTTGAAGAAGTCTTGAGTTTGAAATAGTCTGATTATGATTTAATTGGGATTGTATTTAGAGCATAAGCTCTAGAGTTAGGCAGATCTAAATTTGAATCCTGGCTCTGTTACTAACTAATTGTGTGACCTTATAAAAATGAATTACAGTAGGCTCCCCCTTATCTGCAGTTTCATTTTTCCCGGTTTCAGTTACCAGCGGTCAACTGCAGACATCACTGGCTCCTGACACCCAACCATTGACATCGTCATGGCTCAAGGATCCTCCTTCTGACGTATGGTGAGGTCTATAGTAGCCTAATGCTACGTCACAATGCCTACATCACTCACCTCATTTCTTCTCATCAGTAGGCATTGTATCATCTCATATCATCACAAGAATAAAGGTGAGTACAGTACAATAAGATATTTTGAGACAGAGAGACCACATTCACATAACATTTATTACAGTATATTGTTATAATTGTTCTATTTCATTATTAGTTATTGTTGTTAATCTCTTACTGTGCCTAATTTAGGAATTAAACTTTATCATAGGTATATATGTATAAGAAAAAAACATAGTCTATATAGGGTTCAGTATTATCCGAGGCTTCTGAAGGCATCCATCGGGGATCTTGGAACATACCCCTGTGGATAAGGGGGGACCCACTGTAATCTTTCTTAGTCTCAGTTTTTTCATCTATAAAATGCTGAGAAATTTTAATGCCTATATTTTGAGCTCTGGTATATACCAGAAAGCATACTGGCCAGCAATTGTTCTAATTGCCTACATCATTCCAATTATTAAATATTTTTAATATCCCCCTTGCCCATCTCTCTCAGGATTGGTATAAGAATTAAGTGAGGTAATGGATGTAAAGTACTTTATACTTAGTAAGTACTTTATACATGGTAACTAGTCATTAATCAGATATATTTGATATGTCATTTTAATGATTTTAAATAATTGTATTTTTTAAATTATTAACCACAAGTTTCAATAATTTAGAAATTAAAAATTAAAACAAGTACCTTCATGCTCACTTAAAATAAATTCTACTGGATTACTAACACCCAGTCCTGAACAACGAGGTAGCAGCAGAATCACTTTAACTTTCTGTAATCTATGATCTTTTGATTCAATGTTAATAAATGTCTCATGAAGTATTTCAATATCTGGGAGAAAAAAACACAGAAAAATTAATGCAAAAATATTAATTAAAAATCTTAATGCAGTATGTAATTACATCTATTTATCATTGTTCATTTTTAAATCCTCAATCCCACAAAAAGTCTTTTTTTTTCCCCAGTAACTTTATTGCAATAATAATGGTTTATAACATTGCAAAAATTCGGGTGTACATTATTGTTTATCATTTTCTGAGTAGACTTCATTGTGGTCATCCCAGGTAATCTAATTATTGTCCATCACCTCACATGTGTCCCTTTACCCCTTTTACCCACTCCCCATCCCCCTTCCCCTCTGGCAACCACTAATCTTTAACGTAGTCAGAAAAGAGGGCTATTCTCTGATAACTTCCCAAAGTTAACACATGAGTTTTCTTAATAGGGTGCTTTCTCCTTCACTTGAGAGAATGATTTTGAAGTTTAAATATCTTCTACATAAAATATCATGTAAATTTTCCATTCTGAACTTCAGAGTCAGAAGCAAGCAGTATGATGTAGTAGAGGGAAATGGGCTTTGGAGGCAGAAATACCCAAGTTTGACTCCCAACTTCACTATTTACTAGCTGCGTGACAATCTCGCTAAACCTCCTTTCCTTATTCTTAAAATGGGATAATAATGCCTACCTCATCTAATTGTGGTGAAGACTGAGATAAAGTAGTTAAGCTCTACATGGGGCCTAGTATATAGTAAATGCTCTGTATTGGTTATTTCCCTTTCTCATTTTTTAACCCCTTTTATATTTTATATTCCCCGAAAAAATGGGTATCAGTAGTAATTCTGAGGCACTGTCTAAGGTTCCTTAGGGACATTGTAATTTAGTTGGAGAAAGCCTGCCCTCCCTCAGTTATAACTCTGTGCCCCTATCTTAAGGCCACCCCTTCACTTCTGTAATGGCTCCCCTTTCCCTCACCTGCTGAGGAGTCACTCCTGAAATTGCCCTACCTACCCCCTTTCTCTTGCCTGATCAATTTTTCCCTCTTTTCATTCTGTCTCTTTTGAATTTTTTTTTAAAAATCAAGTGGGCCTTTTCCTTTTTTCTATTTTTAACTTTTTCTTGGAAAAGTTCAAACATATACAAAATAGACATAATATATAATAAATTCTTAAGTACCCATCATGGAGCTTCAACATGAACCGTTCATGCCCAGTCTTGTTTCATCTGTATCTGCACCCACTTCTGCCACCCCCATATAATTTTGAATCTATAAATATTTCTCCATATAGATAAGAACTCCTTTAAAACATAACCACACAAAAATTTTTTAAAAGAATTCCTTATTATCACCAAATAGTAATGGCATCCAATCATGGCTTGAATTTCCCCATGGTCTCACACATGTCAAAAATTTTTTAGTTTTCTTTGAATCAGGATCTAAATAAGAAACATACATTGCAATTGGTTGATGTCTTATTTTAACTTTCCTTTTATCTATAGGTTCCCTTTCCATTTTTCTTACCATTTATTTCTTAATGAAACTTGGTGGTTTGTACTACTAGAATTTCCCAGTCTGGATTTTGCTAATTGCTTCCCTAGAGTGTAGTTTCACATGTTCCTGTCTTCTGTGCTTCCTATACATTAGTAGTTGGAGCTTTAGAAGCTTAATTAGACTCAGGTTCTTTTTTTTCTTTTTCTTTCTTTTTTGTGGGGGAAGCAGAGCAAAACTACTTCACAAGTGGTGTCACATTCATCCGTTAAGTTGCCTTTGTGCTATCAGCAAAGGGGTTGCAAAATAGCCATATTCTAATTCTGTCATCCCTTCTTCATGTATTACCTGGAATACTTCTGCAAGGAGAAACTTCCTTTCCTCTACTGCTTGGTTACCCAGTGGTTCCTATTCTCTCTTGTTAACCAGGTAAAAGGTGGTCAACAACTTGAGAACCCTAATGTACACAGAGGTAATGACTGCAGAGAGTAGCCACGACCCACCACGGCTGACAGAAAAGTGAACACGGAACCAGGGAAGTCAGAGGAGCGGGACCCCTGCAAGGCTGAGATTCAGATCTCTGACAAGAGGGCAAGGCTAACACTGCCAGGACTCCTGCAGGGCCACCACAGGGATAAACAAACACCGGAAGAAGAAGAAAAGTCCTTTCTTCTTCCTCTTCCAGTCTTGCAGTGTCCCTCCAGCACCTTCTAATGGTAGAGCCTAATATTGAGCCAGCCAGCAACAGAAATGGAGTATTCAGAGTATAGCTCTAGCATCACAAAGCAGTGCAAAGGGTAGGTTTGGAGCTAAAAGGAAATGAAGTAATAACTGGCCAGCTTCTGAATCCACTTTTTCTTGATTCTTATCCCACCTCTCTAGTGGATCCTTTGCTAGATCCCTCTTATTCAACTTTCTGATGTCTAAGTATTGGAGTGTCCAGAACTTAGCCTTTGGATTCTTTTCTTTACTACCTACACTCACTCCCTCAGTCATCATGATTTTAAATATTATCGACATGCTGGTAAGTCCCAAATCTGTATCTCTGATACAGACCTCCCCCCTGAACTCCAGAAGAGTGTACCCAAATGCCTGCTTGACATTTCCACTTAGTGGCTAACAGGCATCTTCAACCTAACATAACTAAAACTTAACTCCCATTACAGTCTTTCCCACATCAGGGCAACCTCATCTTTCCATCTGAACAAACCAAAAACTTTAGAGTCAACCCTAACTCTTCCCTTCCCCCACAGTCCATATCCCGTCTAAGAGCAAATCTCGACAAATGTATCGTCAAGATACATTCAGAACCTGCCATTTCTCACGACCTCCACTGCTACTAACCTGGTAGAAGTCAATTATCATCACAATTGGACTGCTTAAAACTGCCTCTTAACTGATATCTCTGCTAACACCCTTCTACCTAAATTGTATTTTCCATAGAGTAACCAAAGGTATAGTTAAAACAAGTCACTCCTCTAATCAAAATCCTCTGATAAATTTCCATCTCATTCAAAGTCAAAGTCCTTCCCCGGCATAGAACACCCCATTTTTGTTCCCAGACCCACCCTTTCACCTCGTCTCCTGCCACACGCCCCCCTCGCTCAGTCTGCTCCAGCCACACGGCCTCCTCACTGTTCCTGGAACGTGCTAACCGTGCTGCCACCTCAGGGCTTTCCCTCTTGCTGTCCCCCCTGCCTTGATTCTGGCACTTATCCCTCACTTCAGTCAGGTCTCCCACGCTTCATTTGAGTCTCTTCTCAAATATCTCTTTATCAGAAAGGCCTTTCCTGATCACCATACGTAAAAAAGAGCAAGCCCTTCTCAACGCTCTATTCCCTTAACCTATTTTTTTCTTCATAGTACGTGTTTATTAGTTTATTTTTTGTCTTTCCCATACAATGTAAGCTTCATAAGAGCAGAGACTGTTTCACTGCTGTATCCCCAGAACATAGAGCAGTAACTGATGCATGGCATGTATCCATAAATATTTGTTGAAAGGATAAGTTATTAACATTTCTTGGGGGATGCTCCTTTTATTAATACACAGTGTCCCTCTTTAGCCTACTGATGCTCTTTGCCTTAAAACCCACTTGCTTTCTATTAGTTAGTGCTGTGTGATAGGTCCTCTTCCGTCACTGTGTTTCCTTTTTGTAAAAAACACTTTTAAATTAAAGTATAGCATATACACTAAAAAGTACACAAATCATAAATGTACATCTCAGTAAAATATCACAAAGTGAACATGCAACCACCATAGGAATCTGCCAGTCAAGAAATAGCACCCTACATCATTACTCCCTTCCTCCTCCCTGAGAATAACCACTCCTGACTTTTAAAACCACAGATTATTTTCATCTGTTTTTCAATTTTATATAAATGCAATCATAAAGTATATATTCTTTTGCATCTTCTTTTTCATCTTCTTTTGTGACCTCTTTAATTTTGTGTATTCTTTTGCGACTTCTTTCACTCACTATTAGGTTTATAAGATTCATTCACATTGTTAGGTGTGGCAATCATTTATTCTGTATAAAATTCTATTGCATGGATATTTGGGTTGTTTCTACTTTGAGGCTATCATAAATAATGTTTCTATGAATAGTTTTACATATAGTTTTTGGTGCACATATATACACTTCTTGGGGCTGGGGGAAGGGTAATAAATCTGAAAGTGAAATGCTGGGTCCTAAAGTATGTATATGTTTGACTTTAGTGATTAACTAGTTTTCCAAAGTGGCTGTACAAATTTATAGTCCCACTGGCAGTGTTTGAACATTCCCAATGCTCCTTGCCTTGCCAACACATATTACTGCCAGTCTTTTTCATTTTAATCATTCTATGGATGTGTGGCGGTAGGTTGTTGTGATTTTCATTGCATTTTCCTGATTACTAATGAGGTTGGGTACTTTTACATAAGTTTTTTTTTGGCATCTGGATGTCCTCTTTTGTGAAACACCTGGTCATGTCTCGCAGTTTTCCAATTGGGTTGTCTTTCTTTCTTATTGTTAATTTGTAAGAATTCCTTATACACTGTGGATAAAAACTCTTTGTCAGTTTATATGCTACCTCTCTACAGTTTGCCTTCGCACTCTCTTAAAGCAGTTTTTTTTAATTTACTGTAATCCAACTTAATCTTTTTTTCTTATGGTTAGTGCTTTATGTGTCCTGTTTAAGAAATCTTTACTGACCCCAGGTCATGCAGTGTTTCTCCTATAGTAAATTCTAGGAGATTCTAGATTTGTGTATATGGTGTGAAGGGTCAGTTTCATTTTTTACCAGCACCGTATACTAAAAAGACCATCTCTTCCTCAGTACCCTGCAGTGTCACTTGGATTGGAATGAATCTATATAGATCAACTTGGAGAGAAACGTCATCTTTATGACATTTAGTTTTTCAATTCACGAACAGTCTATTCTTCCATTTACTTAGGTCTTCTTCTTTTTTTTTTTTTTTGGTGAAGAAGATCAGCCCTGAGCTAACATCTGTGCTAATTCTCCTCTTTTTGCTGAGGAAGACCGGCTCTGAGCTAACATCTATTGCCAATCCTCCTCCTTTTTTT